CAAAACAGATAATTAGGTAGGTATATTGGAAACCCTGTAAATTGATATATTTTACTTTTATCGTATTTTACATTGGTTTTATTGACCTTTTAAACAATTCTTCTGCTAGTTCCGAAAAGAAGCATCATTAAAACTTTTAAATCTAAAAATAATGGCTATTATTGGAGCTCTAACCTGAATACACCTCCTGGCAGTCTTTTCAGTATCTACAACGATGGCCTCCATGTACTTGCCGAGCACCTTGGTGATGGCCACGTTGTAACGCTTGTGGGTCGGCTGACACATGTTGATCATGCGGTCATACTGAAATAGATTAAACAATGTTTTGTAAAATAGATGTGCAATCACTTTTTAACTTGACAAGATTTCGCAAATTCATACAACTACTTAAATTTTTTGTGGGTTAAATGATTAACATTCCCCAAGGATACCTCCAATAGTTGAGAAGTTACAGATGCGTCACTGGGTATTCTAAAAGGATATGTATAATACAAAATATTTTCCCGAAATATTTTGTATATCCAATCTCGCCAAAATCAATTCAGCATAAAGAGTATAGATAGGTTCGAATCAAAGCTCACCACGCCAGGGATATCCCTCTTGAAGCTCTCGACAATCTCCTGCTTCTTCCTGCGGCGCGCCTCCTCGTGCTTGTCGACGCGCGCGTCCCCCAGCGCGGCCGCCACGTCCTCCAGCTGCGCCTGCAGCTCGGCGGCGCGCCCGCGGCACGACCCCACGTCCGCCTGCAACACCACGCGCGCACTACATAGCCTTCCACTTAATGTACATGGCTACATTATTTTTATGTTGGGAATTAGTCCAATTCTAAATTTTAACTATACCCTCTCGGGCTTAGGTTATTAGCCGATGTGTGTATGCTACGGCCCCCCGCACTTCAAGTACAAATATGTTCAAGTTAAGACCTGTAGTTCAGCGCGCAGTCGACGTTGCTCCTCGAGTGCCTGTTCGGAGCTCTTGATGTGTTCATTCAGTTTGTCCACACGTTTCATAGCCTCATTTCTTTCATGACCCTGTTGAATGAAATTGTATGAATAAATAATATAAAACAAGATAAATCTTCCTATTAAAAGATATTTAACCATGTAGCCTTTATAATAGTGTTCAAAATCGAATGATAATGTTCACCTTCTGTCGATGTTTATTCTCGAACTCTCCCTTGCGTCGCAATTCGTTATCGAGTCTGTCCTGGTCCGCCTTCTGTTCTCGGTTGACGGAGTCCAGCTCCTGCAGGTAGCGAGCCGCCTGACGAGACGCTTCCATCTTCAACTCCTCATACTCACGGATCTAGGGAGACAGGTAAATGACGGTAATATAATAACATTACTTTGATAATATAGCATTATACGTTTTGTTCCCCTAAGAAATAGGTAAAGATTTATTAAGTTTTGTTTAAAAAAAAATAGCACCAATTTCCTCAGTTTAAGTGACACAGAAAGAGGATACGACTTTACATATTGAGCAAAATTCTATGCTATTCTATTATGGAGAATTTATGAGAACAAAAAAATTTAAATATAGGTATTATTAGATTGCTCGAGTCTCGATTATTCGAGTAACATATCGCGGCAGACCTACATTTTTATAGTGTTAGTAACAGAAGTTGTAGTACCAACCTGTGCCTCCTCAAGATGCACGTCAGCGCGCCCCGCATGAGTGGTGCCAAGTGTGGAGTGCTCCCACTGAGCCTTCTGGTCTTCAATCTGCCGGAGCTCGTCCTCCAACTTCTTGATATCAGCCTGGTGTGCCTCGTGAGCCTTGCGAGCCTGCTCCAAGGTCTTCAGGGCACTCTCCAACTTTTTCTGCGTGTGCGTCACGCGTTCCTTCGCTTTTATGAATGTTGGACGCTTTTTTGAGATCTCTGCTTCCTGTTAATTATGATACAAATTATATTAATTGGTAATACTGAGGTAGGATTTACATGACCTGATGAAACAGTTATATGTTCATCATGATGTATATTACTCGATAGTCTTACTCGATAAAACATATTACTCAGTGGATGAATATCTTAATGATAAACTTCTCAACCAATATCTCAAATAAAACGGTTAACTGTAATATTTTAATTTTGACTTTATTAAACTTTAATTTTTGACTGTTTTTTTTTTGACTGGTTTGTTGGTTATATTTTGACTCTTTTTAATTTTGATTTTAATTTTGAACATGACTTTTTATTTTATTATGATTTCTGACTTTGTATTTAATTTTGATTATGATTTTTTATTTTATTATGATTATGACATTCTATTTAATTTTGATTGTTTAAGATTTAAAAAATTACTCGACTCCTAAATAATACAATTTCAATTATACCTTTATCTTGTATTCCATTTGATATTAATTTTATTTTATGTTATTTATATTTTTTAATTCTACGAATGACATGTCAGGTGTGCACCCTCCAAAACTTATGTTATTGTGCCCGACAGGGTTCACATTGTGTCCTAATTATGCTTACCACCTAAGTAATACATGTGAAAAGTAATAAAGTATTGAGTATTGAGTATATGTTACATGTTTAACAATCGAATCAAATCGAATGTTCTTTATTGAAAATCATGAATAAGGTACCTTGAACATTTTTCCTTAAATTACATGAGGACTGGTGTTTCTTATCCAAGTGCTTGGGAAAGAAAACTATAGTTTCACTAGCAAAGAATAAATAACATAGTTAGAAGTCATACTGACCACTTCTCTAATCTCCTGTTCAATCTTGGCAGTCTCTCTCTGCACAACTCCAGCTTCCTTCTTCTTCTCCTTAAGAACTTCCTCTAGCTTCTGACGCTTCTTCTCAACTTTGGTAAGCTCTGACTGTTTGTGCTGAAGATCTTCCTCCATTGATTGTATCTCTTTCTCATTGTGGTACAGGTGGTATAACTGGAGTTCTATCTTTTGTTCTTGCTGTTAAAAGAAATGAGAGATACATTGTAAATTTGATTAGAATTGAGTAATTCATATTTCATTACATAATTCACTTATTAAAAAGTGCCCTACATTGAGATTCTTATATAACGATAATGGTCTTGAGACCCTAAAAATAAATTGTTAGTCACATACATGTGAATCAAATCCAGTTGACAAGCAGAGGCTTGCCAACTAGTATTCAGTAGAGTCACAAATTGCTTCTATTCAGTAGAGTCAGAGTCATAAAGTCAAATTACCAGTTCCTCCTTAAGCCTGGTGTACTTCTCAGCCTCCTCTTTTTCAAACTTGGCTTCTTTTCTCTCAGCAGCCACTCCCTTCTTCTTCTGGTAGGAGAACTGGGCCTCTTCATCAGCACGGTTCACTTCCCCACGACAGTGCTCATACTGTTCCTTCAGAACTCCCGATCTGGGAAATACAAATAGGCAATCAACTTTATTACATTATTTAGGTAATGAAACAGCTGACATTTTTGCAGTATGCATCGTTATGCTCCACTAACCCACTAATTTCCTCAAAGAGTGCAGTTCTCTCCTTAGGGTTTTTCATGGCAATGCTCTCCACAGCTCCCTGGAACACCAGGAAGTTCTTGGCCTTCACATTGATGCCCAGCTTTTCAAGCTCACCCAGGTACTGTGATGTGGATACAGACTGTGGACAAGATATTTACAATGTTACTTAACACTTTCAGTAAAGTTGTTGGTGTTGGACATAAAATACCAATCATTAAATATTGATGGCATAGATGTTTTACATAGATTCTATGTAAATAATTGTTTGTATCAATTAATCTTGCAACAAACAATCATCAAATTAATACAAATTTAACTCTTAGTAACAAGGTTGCCGTTTTTACCCTTTGGGTATGAAACCCTAAAAATGAAAAATATACAGAAACATAAACTTTGGTTTTCAACTTAAATTATTTACATAAATTTAATTTAACTTAAACATAAACATAATTTTGTCTTGACTTTTAAAATTCAAAACACAGAATGAAGAATATAGGACTTAGTACCTACACTTAACTTAGTTAGAAAATTCATCATGAAAGAATGTCTCACCTGTCCATCAATCTTGTGTTCTGATGACTGTCCAATCACTGACCTCTGGAACTGCTTCTCTGTCATATCCTCGAGAATAAATGTTGCTGTCACTGAAGCACTACAACATAAGAGACAGTTATATTAGCAACTCAATCACACAAAAGATTTAAAAACTATGACTTTTACCATTGCCATTAGTCATCTTATTATTAATAACACAATTTTCAATTTCAATTCCTTATTTGTTGTTGTACACAGGTATAGTATAATACAGCTCTTATCAATAGTTACCTTCTGGATACTGGTTTGTTGATCGAGGCTCCATGTATCAAATCACTGAGACGTTTCACACGGAGTAAAGAAGTCTTTTCACCCATCACAAAACTTACAGCATCCATGAAATTTGACTTGCCTGTAGAGTAATATATTGTTACCGAAGAGTCAGGTGGTATTTATAATATGTTGTTACATCGTAGCATTAGATGCTATGCAATGAAAATAATAATCAATTGGCATGACCAAGTAAACCAAATCAAACTCTACAGTGTTCAGTAGGTATAACAGACGTATGTACACAATTATATTTCGAAACAATTTCACAAATATGAATTTAAATGGGATTTATAGTATTCCTTACCTGATCCATTAGGCCCTACCACCGCAGTAAAAGATTTCAGAGGTCCTATTCGGTGGTGTCCCCGATAGGACTTGAAGTTTTCCATATCAATATATTTAAGAAACGCCGGCATTTTGGCTTTTTTAATTTATTTGACCATTCAGTAAAATATTCCACCAAGTTTAACATAAAAGTAAATTATTAGCGCCAAACATCGTCACATCAACAATACCGTTGTCGCTGTCAAACAAATGTCAGCCATCTTTAAACTGGTTAGAGATGTGCCCTTTACTGGCGTAAACCGTAAACATAACTGTTAGTCGATTTCTACATCTTTTTTTTATGTCTTCCAACTTTGTTATTAGCTTTATTGTTTAGAATAGTGTTTTTTATAGGAATCGTACCCTGGAACGTTCGTGTCATATTTGATTTGACTGAAAGAAACGTCAAATATTTATTTATTGACATCTTCGTTTCACTTACTCTTCGTTGTTTTTATAATAAATTGTTTGGACATGGAGAAATGGTAAATAAAACTATGTCAGGTGACCGTGATCAAAGTCCTACAAGTACTATCAACTTAGCTGATCCCGAAGAAGCTGTGCTAATGGATCCCATAGACTATGAACGCTGTCGATACCCTTACTGTATAGTTTGGACCCCAATACCTGTTCTCACGTAAGTTTACTATCAGTACGACCTTCCAAGATTTTTTATGTACAGATAATATAAACCTTAATAAAATAAATACTAACTATTACCAAATATATACAACATAAGATAAAAATTAAATAAAAGGTGTTTGCTATTATCATATTAAATCAACGGAATATCTTATTAATAATCTCCAGTATCTTGAATGCACAATAAAGTTAATTTGTACCAGTACGGTCCTAGTATCAGAATTAGTAATATTTAACTGTCAATTTCAATAACAAGCTAAGTATTGTAATATAATAATAAGACCAATGGTTTATATTGTTTTGTTAAACAATATTGTTGTTTTGAGCATATCAATTTCCAAGAATAGAATATATTTGTCATGAATCACCTATATTTTATTGTGTTAAAATGAAGCAGTTTTCCTACAACATAATTGTATAAATACCAACTTATTTGTTATGCGCTTTAAAATAATAAGGAAAATATGTTTTCAGTTGGATATTTCCTTTCCTTGGACATATGGGCATTTGTACATCATCAGGTGTAATCCGAGACTTTGCGGGCCCATACTTTGTATCTGAAGATTTGATGGCATTTGGAAATCCAACAAAATATTGGCAATTATCTCCACAAAAGGCAAATAATGGTCAGGCAGGGTGGGATGCTGCTGTTGCTGAAGCTTCTGAAATTTATAAGAAAAGAATGGTATGTTTTACTGATATTCATAATATATAATTATAATTCCTATGAATACTTGTTGTTATTTTTCCTCATAATTTATCTCCATGAGTGTTTTGTTTCCAGCACATACTGTTCTATGACAACTGTCATTCCCATGTGGCAACTGCTCTGAACATAATGAGTTACGGAGGCTGCAAGAACTGGAACATGGTGAAGCTAGCATTCTACATGATACCATACTCTAGTTATGTCAGGTGATTAGATATAGATATAAGACATCTTTATTTCTAGTTAAATTTTATATTGTGATGCTTGTGATGTGGGTAGTATGATGATAAAGAACAGTTTAATGTTTTTGTTTCAGCATTGGAGGGTTTCTCAAAACATGGATTCCATTTTTGATAATAGTTGCATTTATAGTTGGTTTAGCAGCAATTATTTAGATGCAATGACAAATCTGATACTGTCCCAGTACTATGCTTTCTGATTGATGGTGTGAGCTGTTGTATTGAAGACTTTGTGTGTGGTGGATATCATTGGTGCTGGAAGTGTGATGGAGACTGGTAGTGAGCTGGAGCTGGACAGGTTGTTCCACACAAATATAAGATAGTTAATATTGTTTATAGTATTGGTTATGTGCTATTTGTATTGATAAGTTACACACAACTGTTATGGTACATTCTGGTTTATAATATATTCTCTAAATTATGTTTCTGAAGCACCTGCAGTAAACTTGTCTATTTAGTATTCTATTTGTATTATTCTTGGTTAATCACAGAAGCCATGTCTATATGGTTACTTATAATAAATGTAACACATTTGTTTATGTTTTATTTGTCTGGCGAATCACATAGTCGAGAAGGAATTGTCTTATTTATACAATAAAAATAGTTTTATTTCGATTGTGTACTTTTATTTACAATTTTATTATTAATATTAAAAATGAGAATACATTTTTTTAACTTAATAAACAATATTTATAATTATATGCAAACAATATTTATTGCATTACTTTTGTAAGCCTTGCATTGTATTGTGATAATCAAAAACATCTATTTATGTCATAGGTCTAATTTATCATTTGTGGTTAGAAGTAATTTTGTTCGTGTTTCCAAATAATTTACAACCTCCTCCTTTTTGGGAAGTCTGTATAAATAAATTTCAATATTTTAACCATGAAGCCATGAGCGGTATACAATAAAAACTGAATTATTCTAAATCTATGTATCACATGTCTAGTTTAAAATTCGAAACAATTTAAACGATTCCACTATGTAAATAGATATCATTGTAATCCAGACTTCTTCACAGTTAAATAATTAACACTCTTTCAAAACACTGCGTTCCACATTGAAATCATATTCATATCCACTCATATTGACTTTGCTAGTCAGAAATGCGAGAAGATCTGCCATTTCTGTAGCGAACGTATCCTTTTTCGATGCCATTTGTAGAGTTTTAGACATGGCGAACGGTACTCCTTGCAAGTAATGAAACGTTGGGTCAACCAAAGCAGTTCTTGTGGGAGCTGGCGGCGCTGGTCGCGGCACGTATGGAGTTGATCCACCACCAGCAACGTTAGGATATAAACTGTTTCTAGGCGAACTAGGATCAACTACGACGAATCCATCATCGGAACGCGCACCAGGAATCGGAGGAGTCTCTTCTTCTACTTCGACCTCCACAGGAGATCTACGTTTACCAAATATTGATGAGAACATTTTGCTGAACTAATGTAGTACTGAGTCTCAGACAGATAATTTGTTACTTTAAGATTTTTGTATGTAAATATAAATGAAGATAATGAACAATAAGTATGAGTCAACAATGAGTACTTATCTTATACTGACAGATGACAGTAAAGTATTGTGTTATTATGATTGACGTTTTCGGTTGTGTCAAATGTTAATCATCCTTTAGTGAGACTGTAGTCTGTACAAAAACCGGCAAAATCTAAATTAAATCGGTAATAATTATACAGTTACGTATTTTTTATGCTATTCGGTCAAAGGTGCAACAAAATAAATGTGTGAGAAATTGTGCAGGTAATTACTTATACTATAATTTATATATAAAAAAAATGGTTGTATTCATAAGAACCGCTTTTTCGGCAATACCGGTTTTTTATATATTAGGCAAGGTGCGACTTTAAATCAACTATCACGAAACGTCATTCTGATTGGTGATATTGTATCAAGTTTTCGAACAAGAATCATGTTGGCCAATAAAAAACTAGAAAAATTGCTAATTGGAGTCTGACAAGAAGAATTTGTGAACGGACTGATCATTCGACGTAATTATTACGTCAAAACCTGGTCAAAACATAGGTTTTTGGCTTGTTTTGAAGCGATTATTAAGTGAGTTTTTTAACTTGGATATGAACAAGTTATTAAAATGTTGTTATTTATGTTTGTTGTGACGATAAAATACTACGAAATAATATATAAAACTGTTAAATAGTGCTATCTAAGGACATATATAATCAAGTATTCGAAGCCCCAGCTGGTGTAAGCAAGGTACTAATATTTTGTGTAATGTGGTTCCTTTATGTATTCAGTTGTAGTATAAAGTCACTTATACAGGTTGCCATCATTTAATATATCGAGATTTATTGTTTGTTATTGGTTGCGGCAGTTGTTGTGATACTTTGAGGTGTACCTAGTAAATTGGCATTATCATTTGATATTGGGGGATATGTGATGTAGTCTATCCAGTATGTTAAATGATGGAAATGTACCAATAAACATATTCATAAGTAGTTGTGTAGATGTGTATGTACAACTAGGTGGCATAGTTTCATTAAATGGAAATACTTTTCAAAAGCTCTGTGTGGTTCAATGTGAAAGTTTACATTTACACACATTCTAGAGATATACATTATCTTGTAGATACATATATATATATAATTTATTTACTGCAGCTATGTTATGAGCATTATTTATTTATCAATAGTATTAATTTAGAAATAATGAAGTATCAATATAACGGCAATCAAGCAGCAAGCAAGTATCTATATAATTCAATTTTCATCAATTTTATATTCCATATAATGAAAACCCAACTAGGTTTTTTTTTATATATTTGATAGGCCGACGTTTGACCACTATATCGTCTGGTGGTAAGCAATGATGCGGTCTACGATAGAGCATGTCGTCCCATAAGCAACCTATTCACTCGGGCCTTGGTATAGGTTTTCATTACATAGAATATAAAATTGAAATATGTGTAACTCATCCATTTGGAAATTGAAATCAAAATGTTGGTAGGTACAATATGTTTACAAAAGTTATCTTGATTTTAGGATACCGGAGAAATGGCTGATGAACCTGGCCGATCATCCGAGAACTCAGGTAAGTTAATTAGCTAAAGTTATAAAGTATTTGTATTGACCAATGACATAAATTATAAAACTCTATAAAAAATATACTGTATTCCCAAGAAACAAATACTTTCTTTATGAAATACTGGCGACTCATGACCATTTGTGGGTTTGGAACAGTCATCAAGTCACCAAAATGTGACTAGAATCAATTACTCACACAATTATAATTATTTCGTGGCAATATACCTATTTCATTGAGTAATTACACTTTACACTTACTCAAAAATTTTTGTAATAAAAATGGTAAAAAATATTATGAATAGGTATTTATTGTTGTAAGATGAAATAATGATTATTTATGGTCTCAACAAGTATTATATTAATACACTCAAACTCGGTTTTACTGTTAACTGTGCTAACCACAGATACAATCATTGCTTAGCACCCATTCGAGGAAATAATTCAATGAAATCATTTGTTTTTTTTTTATATATTTTCACACAATAATTGTTGTTACATGTTATTATTTTTAATGATATATTGTCTCTGTTTCATTGTTTAAGTTTATAGAGCAATCAATAAAATATATATATATATATATATAAGGATATACTAACATAATACCACTTGTTCTTAAGAAATATCAGACCACTCTGAGTGGAGACCACGATATGGCATTTTATTAGAACCATTTCAAAGTATCGCGATTCCATTCTCAAACATTAGCCATTCAAGACCAATCATTATTAATATTTGGAAAATTCGCAAACCTACCGACATTTTTCAAACCTGAGACCTTGTATTGGGCAGCCGCAACTACCAATCGACGATTCAGTGAAATATTGACAACAATAACTAATTAACATGTGTATAATTATTAATTACATTTGACTTGTAATTACAGATTATATTGCTCATAAAATGTAATTGTTAGTTAGACACCGCGCGCGCCACACGCATGTTGCAGTACCGGATCTAACCACGTAGCAAGATTGAGCTACTTACTGCTACGGGCTCCGCGAAAAATGGCGCCTAGTCAAACCAAAACCACCTCATATTTTCTTGATAAAGGATATCAAATCAGGGGCCTAATTAGGATGCTTACTCCGGCACTGATGATGTGTCGGGTGGCGCGTGGCTGGTGATCGTGGTGTGGTGCATCTTTTACGTGGCGTGGTTAATCTGTGGCTCTGTTATTCGGCCGCCCCAGCCAATCACGGCGCGGGTGGAGGGTGGTGGAAGGGAAACGGTGGGCGAGCCACGCTCCACGCTCCACGGCTCCTCAGATGTTATTATTGCCATGGTGTGAGTGATAATGTGATGAATCTTAGTTGTTGCTAGGGTCCGCCTACTACTCTTAATATTAGTAATTACTGAATACTAATAATGACAATGTCACTTCGCTTATTTTCCAGCTCGTCATCTCCTTGTGCTGGATCGAAAGTAAATGTTTATTATGTAGCACTAGCATGAATCAATAGTGCATTATCGGTCGCTTACTCAGTGGTATTGAATACTGTTATCAATTTTACATGTAAACATTTTTGTGAGTTTTCCTTAGCGGAAAATTTTCACCGCGGCGTAGTACAACCGGGCCGGGGGCTCGTCACACACACCCATCTGTCGCGATCGATGCTCCCAAGGCCACGGGCGGGCTATCGATTTTATATAAATAGAAGCAGCCCCTCGCAACCCCTGCCCCGTATGCGCTCTGTCACCGCGCCCGGGAACCGGGACCACAGGTTCGATGCCCGGCCTTGTGTCGTACTTACATTGTTTTGTTTGCAATTATTCACTTGCGATTGTCAGGGCAAAACGAAAGGTTTTTGGTTATCTGTTTTGATATATTGCTGTGGTTTTAGAGGTAGCTTTACAGATATACTACTTAAATTGTCATCTTCCGCAATCGTAAGTTATTTGTTTTAAAATATAAAACATGCTCATATTGCATTAAAAGTGCTTTATCGTTGTCGGAGGCTGTGATTACTACTTAAGTATACCAATGTGCCTCTACTATGCCTGCCTACCATTGATATACATAACTATATCGAACCCGATCCCTTTATTTTTGACGCGTATTAAGAAGGCATGTAATAGATTTCTACTTTTTCTAGAACAGTTTTGTAATAACGGAATATGTTTTATAGTTCGGAGGCTGTATCACTCGTTTAAATTCTTAGAATTGTGGAGAATTGTATGGAATATTGGATATAGTTGGTTGCTAGGATACATTTGTAAAGGTTTTCAGATGAGCACGTCCGAGGGGTGTATTGAAATATTAGTCCCGCCCGCACCGCGCCGCACCGCGCCGCGCCATGCGTCGCAACATTCTCGAATAAATTACCTGTTCTTAAGATGACTCACAGATTTGGCCAGGTTGTTGCTTGCTCTTATAAACTCTGATCTCGCCATAAGGTATCATATCTTGTGACATTGTCAATATGGTCTGACTTGCTTTGTTTCGTAGGTGATCGTTCGTTGTTGTAGGTGGTGCGGCAGCTCTGAATTTCCTCGATAAATGAACTCACCAACGATACTAGCACGTTCACACAAACAAACTGTTCAGTTGTTTAACATCAGCATAGACTGCCTGACCTTACCTGACTTCTCAGTGAAAGTAAGCTGATGTTTAGTTAATGTAGTATTCACAAGTTTCGCCGTTTATCCTCGAGTCTTGTAACATTTTAGTTAAATGGCCAAGTTTGATGATGTATTAATTTATCCTGTACGTAGTTTTTACTTTTTAGTAGTACCGTGTTTTTGTTGGAATCTATTGTCCACATTCACTTAGCTGACTGATCGACGAAGCAACTCGTTTTCAATTGTCCCAGTGCCAGCACAGATAGTGACAGCAAAAACTTTTATGCACAAGATGCACATGTCTTTGATTGTTGATTTGATAATAGTTATCTATGTATTTTCTTCTTTTCTATCTTGTTTCATTGTTTGACTCACTAATCTCAGGAAGTACCAATCTGAGTTGTCGTTTGACAGATAGACAGATACTTATGTACATATTTTACACGTGACAGACCTAAACAGAGTAGGCGAGTAAAACCACAGAACAATGTTAGTATAATATGTGCGGTGAACTGAGATCTGATATTAAGCTGTGACTAAACCGAGTGGGTGTCACCCGGGGCGCCGGCCGTCTGGTGAGTTTATTTGAAAGCGCCTCTGATAGATGCGAACACCACCAAGCTACAGCGACTCTCATAAATGTTAGCACCAGATTGACTCTACCAAAGATTAGTAAACATAGCTCAGTGGCAGTGTTGCGGGAGACGCTGTGTGACGTGTCCCGCCAGTCCCGCGTCGCGCGTATTAGCCCAGGTGTGTCAGAAACAATATCACACAATGTATGTATGTGTAATCTACCAGTAAACGTATCGATAAACTATAATAAGCTCATTACTATTCATATCTCTTGTGTTAATCGAATCGGAATACAGTTATCGGAATTCCGGGAAAACCAAAGCCCCTGAGAATGTTTGTGAGATTGACTCGTATGTGAGGGAGACACAGAGGCTGGCGTAACAAGGAGGCCTCACTGTCATGTAGAGAGCACGGCGCCGTCGTACAGACATTAATCTAATTGTTTCGTGGAAGCACCAGTACCTAGCTAATTAATTAAATCAGTAACGAGAACTTTCCATACAGTTCTGTTTCAATATTTTCTCAAGTAAAATATCAAACTTGAAATTTTTCAAAATGTAATTTTTAAGGTACATCAAGTATTTCCAAGAATGTAAAGTGAAAGAATTGTGTTTGCTCCAGTCGTGGTCTTGTGTAAGGACGAATAAATGAGTAATGTGTTGTTTAGATTTGTTTGTTGCCGGGGCGATCCGAGAGGGGTGTGTTATAACTGTTGTAAGCTTGTGAGCACGTGGAGCGACGAGAAACAAGGTTTGATAACCGGTACCGGCTCCACCCCCACACAGTGGCTCGTACCACTTCGTTTTACTGGTTTTTACATCTTTGCCGTGGGTGGATTCTCTTTCTTTGCACACAAAAACAAACACCTCTACATAGAAACGTGATCACGTTTTTATAACAATTAGTCTAGTATCGTTTCTGGTTCTCTTTGTACTTGTGGATTCCTTGTATTGCGATTTGAAGTGCGGTGCGGTTGTACCTGTGGTAGGGAGTTACCTGCTTAATGTCCAGCAGTGTTGCAGTCGATTGACAGCACTATGTGGGTTACCAGGCCGCATTAGTTGGCAACTCGCCAGTACCTACGTACCTGCCTGTGTATTCGATTGTTATTAAGTACAATATATAAAAACACGTACAATTTTATATCAGACCGACTGACTGGTAATGTTATCGAGTTCTCGGAAACTTGAGTGAAACAAAAACTTATTGCCTTTGTTGGGTGTATCCATTAAGGTAAATAGGTACGGGAAATGTAGCTTTAAAATAAATACCTCTCTTGTTTATATTTCAAGAAATACCTCGCGTTTACTTTGACAATAAAGATTTATAAACATAGTAACGTGTTGTACATAACTCAAATGAATAGTTTATCCAGCTTAAGGTGTAATGAGATCATCAAGTTTTGGATTGTGCCCAACGTAGCGTCAGTATGATTGTATCAGTGGGCACCTGCGCGCGCGCCGCACATCGATCATATATTGACAGTCGCACGGATACGGTACGTTATCGCAACGTAGACTGGCTACGTATGCTAGATCTGTTCCCTTATCACTCCGTTATCAGTGATGACCTCGTTATTTGTTTACCGATTATATAGGAATCATCTCGTTTGATTTGCTATCGCTCCATTATCGCAGATTACAATTCGCCAATCGCTATAATCGCGACATTGAAATTTACCTTGTTTAATTAATTGAATAAATATTTTATAAGTCTGTGCTACGTTTAGTAAGGAACGAGGTGTACAGGTATGTTTAGATTACACGTCAACAAATATGCACCTTATGCTTTAACTCCATACAAATAAAGTCGTGTATTTCCTAAATTTCCTAGGTCACCAGATTTATTGTCCTGGTACAAAGTACATAATAA